CCACTCCCTCCTTCTAACCCATCGGGTCGCTTCCCAAAACCAAACTAACTTGTGGTTGTGCTGGTACTGTTTGGTTCTCTGGTTCCTGCAGACGTTTGATGCACTTTTCTGTGAGGAGTTCCTGAGTTCTTCAGTTACAGGAACCATTTTCTTCTTGTCTCCAGGACATCAAAGCTTTGATCTCTGTTTGAACCCACGTCCATCTGGAGAACGTCTGATGGACGTGGGTTCTCCACTCGGCCTCAGATCTGCTCCTCACATGAAGTCAAACATCTGGTTCTGGACCCAGGCCGGGGTTTGGCTCTGTGGTACTTTTCCCTCCATGGCAGTGGGCTGTCACTTCAGTTCATCACAGATGGTTAGCTTCTCTAATGAGAGACATATTTGGCTGCAGTACCACTGCCAGCCAACAGGGGAAGAATTAGCTAAAACAATATTGGTTGTAAGACTCTGATTTGACCTTTGACCCCAGGTGTAGTGTTTTAAACTGAGGATGTAAAAAGTGACAGCCCTGATGCCGTACTAACAAAGTTGACCAGGTGGAGGCGCACTTGTTTTAACCCAGACTTCCTCTGGACTGTGGTTGTCTGTGCTGAGCCGGGTCAGGGGTTCTGTTGGTCCTGTCCCTCAGACCTGATGGACCGTTATTGCCCGTAACCCTGATGTTGGACCACGTCTCAGTCTGTGTCCGTGTGTGTGACAGGGTTTGGCTGCAGAGGTGGAGCAGCTGAAGAGCAGAGTGGAGGAGCTGGAAGGACAGAGGAGTCAGTTTGAGAAGAAGCTGAGAACAAGAAAGGTGTGCGGACCCCCGGCCGCGGCGGGGGGGGGGGGGGGGGGCCAGGACGGGGGTCCAGACCCTGTAGCTCCTGGTTCTCTGGGAGACTGACTCTGGTTCCGTCTCTGCTCCACAGACCCAGATCTCGGAGCTGCAGCAGATCTTGGCCTCCAAAGATGCTGAGATCGAGGGCCTGAAGATGCAGCTGTTGACTGAAGACAGCTCAGCCAATGACAGCGCAGAGAGAGGTACACGTGCACATTCACATGCACGCTGGTTCACAGCCACGCCAACATTAACTGACCTGTGTCCTATGACCTCCAGAACTACTTCTGTTAAATCTGCAAACTGTACCCTCTGGCACGCTGGTTCACAGCCACGCCAACATAAACTGACCTGTGTCTCCAGAACTACTTCTGTTAAGTCTGCAAACTGTACCCTCTAACAGCCTTCCTCTTCATAGTCAGTCAACTGTACCTGTACCTGTACTGTCTTCTTCTGTTAGACCAGGAGTACCAGCGACTAAAGGCAGGGATGGAGTCTCTGTTGACCTCCAATGATGAGAAGGGAAATGGAGTCAATTGGTTAAAGGGCTAATCCCACTGTTTGCAGGTGTGTTAGTGTCTGTGTCTGCCGTGTCACAGACACTCACTCTTGGATGTTCACTCTCAGATTTTTGTAATGATGAGGTTCTTGACCTTTGACCTGTGCTGATCCCCAGGACCGTCGTATTGAGGAGCTGACCGTCCTGCTGGGTCAGTACAGGAAGCTGAGGGACGTGGTGGCTCTGACCCAGGGTCAGTGCTGAGAACATGATGACACACACACACACACACACACACGGGTTGGCCACGCCCACTCCTCACTCACTCACTTCCTCTGTCTCTGTCTTGTTGTCCTGCTGCAGGCAGCAGTGAGGAGGAGCTGAACTCTGTCAGGACCTCAGCTGTCAGTCACAGAGCTCACGCTGACACCCTGAGGTCAGAGGTGAGAGGACGCTCACACACACTCACACAGTCACACACACACAGTGTCTTTCTAACCAGTGTGTATTTCTGTGTCTAGTTTTCTTCTCCAAAGTTGTCCCCTCTCATCTTGTCTTCATCTTCGTACAACCGGGCCTTGGACTTGTGGTACACACACACACACACACATGAGGCCCCTCCCCTTCAGCGGGTTCTTATTAATACTGTAGTAATACTGTAGTAATACTGTAGTATTCTGAGGTTCTTCAGTAACAAATTTAACTTCTTCATCAGTGTCTTAGTTTTATCTTCGTGTTTTTATTTGACATCAAATTTACTTCAATGTTGGTTTTTTTTCTTCAATAATTTTGTCTGAATTAAGTAAAAAAAAAGTTAAGTTATCAAAAAGTATAGATTTTTTTTTTTTTTTACTCACCTCAGTTTGTTTTATTAAGGAACGGATAATTAAAAAGCCTGATTTTATCACAGTCTCCAGGATCCAGTGTGTGTGTGTGTGTGTGTGTGTGTAAACACCTGGTGTTGTAGCTCGGCTGTGCTGTCTCTCCTCAGGCCCAGGTCCAGGTCCAGGTCCAACAGTCTAGAGGAGCTACACAGTGATTCTCTACAGGAGGTCTGTGTCTTCACATTTAAAGCAGGGAATAAGAAACACCTGTAGTTAACAAACCAACCTGAGGTGTCACTGTTTCCCTAAAAAGCCCTTTACTACTGCTGTCTGCTGCAGAACCTTCAGCTGGAGCTCAGCAAGTACCAGACTCTGCCTGGAAAACGCAGCAGAAAGATGGAGCGGAGGGTGGAGCTCAACGGACACTCTGACTACATGTCTCCACTGCAGGTGTCACCTGTTCTCCACCAGGGGCATGACTACAGTCTGAGTGAGTTCCACTGTTGCCCAGAATGTTCTACTAATATTGACTGACCTTCAGTCTTTGGTTGATGTTTAGAGTAGATCAGATTGGATATGGACTTTGGTCTGAGCTAAAATCGCTGATTTTCTTCATGGAGTGAGGTCATCCTGTGTCAACACCGTTGGCTTCTTTCTTACTCCTGCCTCTCGTGTGTGTTCAGGACCTACAGAGGAGCAGGAGCAGGAGCAGGAGGAGTTCCTCCTCTCAGACCGGTCTACTCTGTCCTCAGGACAGCAGTCTCCTGGTTCACTGGAGCAGAGGAAGAATCACCGAGGCATCAGGAAACTGTGGGGGAAGTGAGTGTCGAAGACCAAACTGTTCGGCTGATCATGTGACTCCATCCAGATTCTGACATGAGCATCAGAGCAGCCATCAGTACCAGTCTACAGGAACCGGTCCTCGTTGGCTGTGATGAGCTGCTGGTGGAGGTTCCTTTAGGCCCAGTCCAGGAACCTGAACTGTTTACGTTCTTGTAACCTCCAGGATACGCCGCAGTGAGTCAGGGAGTCCTGTCCAGGTTCACGACCCGGAGCTGGGAGAGTTCAGGAGGGGGGGGTTCAGAGCCACAGCTGGGCCCCCACTGGCCCGTTCATGGAACATCAGGTACTCTTCATGATGACATCACCCTGGTCTAAGCTTTAGTCCCGTTGAGGATTGACAGTGGTACTCTGTGTCCACCTCAGAGACATGAAGACGCCGTTCTCCACGTGGAACACAGAGCAGGTCTGTGATTGGCTGGAGGACATCGGACTGGGTCCGTACTCTGTCTTAGCCCGTCAGTGGGTCACCAGTGGTCAGACACTGCTGTCGGCAACCCCGCATGACCTGGAGAAGGTACACACACACACAAAACCTTCAGTTCTCTGTTCTATTTCTGACCCGTTCCTAAAGGTCGGTACTGAGTTCAGAAGAAACAACAACAGTCTGAAAGGACATCTCTCTGTGTTTGACAGGAGATGGCGATGAAGAGCCCCCTCCACAGGAAGAAGCTGCAGTTAGCCATGAAGGCAGCTAGCAGCCCACAGCCGGAGCGGTCCGTGGATCTGGACCACGTCTGGGTCACAGGTGAGCACCGATCCGTTCTCTTGGGTTTGCAGCTCCAGACACTGAAGGGTTAATCCTGGAGCTGCTCCTGCTGCAGGTTGGCTGGACGACATCGGGCTGCCCCAGTACAAGGACCAGTTCTACGAAGGACGGGTGGACGGACTCATGCTGCAGTACCTGACCGTGGTCAGTAGGGTGCACACTCCACAGTCCAGTCTTTGACAGGCCTGAGTCAGTTCTAGAGATGAAGAACTGCTTGGTGTGTGTGTTTATCAGAACGACCTGCTGCTCCTCAAGGTCACCAGTCAGCTCCACCACCTCAGCATCAAGGCCGCCATACGGGTCCTGCACCTCCACGCCTTCAACCCACACTGCCTCAGACGGAGAGCCGGCAAGGTGGTGAGGAGAAAGAGGGGGAGGAGGGGAGGGCGAGGGGGAGGAGAGAGAGAAAGAGGAACTTCCTGAATCTCTATGTGGAAACAACCGTCACCACCTCCTTTCTGTGCTTTAACTGTTAGCTGGACAGGCTAATGTCCACTTCTATCAGACTAACCCTTCCCTGGTTAGCGTTAGCTTTGACCAAAGACATGGACTCGAACTTCCTGCTTCAGTAGATCAGATTCAATCCAACGTTCTTGGTCTTGTCTTGGTTTCAGAGTCAGTTCTCTCCCACTGAGGTGGTGCAGTGGTCCAACCACCGGGTCATGGAGTGGCTGCGGTCCGTGGACTTAGCAGAGTACGCCCCCAACCTGCGGGGCAGCGGCGTGCACGGAGGACTGATAGTAAGTTGATTTATTTAAATAAAAAAAAAACTCCACATCAAAGGTTTGAAGCTGGAGCCGTTCTTTTCTGGAAGGTTCTTCCTCCAGCTCCGTGGTCCAGGGTTCTGTTCTACCAGTCTTATGGCGCCTCTGTCTGTACTGTCGTGCGTTTGTCGTCGACTGACCTGAATGATTTAAATAATGCTCCAGATTTACCCCCATACACAAACTGACCACCGGAGGCAGCAGTGAACCAGCAGCTCCTTCAAACGCTGGCGCCACCACTCTGTCATGACCCTAAACTGCAGCTGTTCTCTGCAGATGCTGGAGCCGCGGGTCAACGCCGACTCGTTGGCCACCCTTCCGAACATCCACACTCACACAACGCGGCTGCGGCGCCACATCACCACCAACTTCAACAACCTGGTGGGATCTGAAGCCCAGCAGGAGAAGAGGGAGTTCATGGAGGCGCTGGGCTCCAGCCCACTCAATATCTCCGCTAAAGTGAAGGTCAGAGGTCAGAGGGTCAAGAGCCCCTGGTAATGTTATCACAGAAAGCTCCTGTCACTTTTGTCCCCTCAACAGACGGTGGACAACAAGTGGACAGATAGATGATTGTCAGATAGTTGGTGGACAGGTCAGACATGTTTGTCTGCAGTAACCACAGTAGACCACCAGGAGGAGCTCCTTGTTGATGGACAGGTGATCCTTGTCTTCAGATAATCTCACGTCTGTTTTAAACCTCTGCAGCCAAAGAAGCTGGGCTTGTCCAACCTGACCCACCTGAGGAGAAGACGTCCAGATGAGTCCACAGACTATGTCTGTCCCGTCCAGTCTCCAGGTCAACCAGTCTCAGGACACGCTGCTGAGACACAGACTCGTCCCCGCTCTGGTTTCAGAGGCCTGAATCCCATTTTGGACCGAGAACAAGGAAACCATTCCAGGGACCAGAAGGGACCAGAGGACTGGACAGAAGACCAAGCTCCCTGAGTTGGACCACCTCCCTGCTGGGCTGCAGCCCACTAATACCTCAGTCAGTACCTCAGTCCGTCTGCTGGTCACAGATGACACTGACCGTTCAGAACTCCTCTGCCTCAAACCTCTAGACTCTGTCTGTGATGTCATTTCCTGCGGACCAGTCTATACAGTACCTACACTTTTCCTTGGTGTTAAAGGGATGGGGCGGGGTTTCTTCACCGATCACACTGTTCTCGACTATTATTGTTCAGCACTGACATCTACTGGCAGAGAGTAACAACTGCAATTTACCTTAAGATGACTTTGACATGTACTAACTGTTTTTTTTTAAATTTGGAATTAAAACAAAATCAAGTCTGATGTAGTTTTTTTTGTGCTCGACAAAATAATGAAATTATCAAAGCATTTCAGGTGTTCAAAGGTATTTTTTATATAAATCTCCTTTGATTTCAAAGGAGTAAGTTAGAAAAACGTTTTTTCTTTAAAAAATGAATAAAACATCACCAAACATTAGAACAGGAGTGTCCACCTGGACCAGGACCAGGATCATCATTACACTAAAAATAACTCAGTCTTTTCTTCTTTGTTTTCATACATAAAAGTCAATCAGATGAACGTTCACAGTCTTCACTTTAGGCCCACAGGCCGTAGGTTTGACACCCCTCCATTACAACAACCAATAAAAAGAGAATAAAGTTCCTCCAGTGCAGACATGAAGGTGGTCAGAACTGCAGTATGGTCAGTAGGTTGTAGGCGATGGTGTCTCTCATGGCCTCAGCGGTGCCGTAGGATTCCGAGACGCTGGGGTCCATGTCAGGCTGTCTGCCCGAACCGTCCAAAGGCCGGACCTCGGTGTTCCACTCCGGCAGGAAGTGGTCTCCTTGGACTTCACAGATGTTGTGGAGGATGCAGCAGGTCGTGATGATCTTTGGCGCCATGTCCATGTCAACCTTCTTCAAGAGACACCGCCAGCGTCCTCTCAGGCAAGCGAAGGCAGCGTCCACCACAGACAGACCCGACGACAGGGTGAAGGAGAAGCGGCGCTGCTCCGAGGTCAGCTGCTCCTCGCTGCTGTAGCCTTTCATCAGCCACGGCTTCAGGGGGAAGGAGACGTCACCGATCAGATGGACTGGGACCTCCACGCTGTCACACAGCAGCGACCTCTACAGGAAATCAGAGTTAAAGGCAACAATTAACGAAACAAGCTTCAAGTCCAGACCGATCGGTACCTGGGTCCAGACCCTCACCTCTCTGGGGAACAGGTACCTGTCAGGACTCTCCACGGCCTTCATGGACAGGCTAGAACTGGACAGTACCGTGGTACTGCTGCTGCTGCCGGGGCAGCCGGCATGGACATCAGTGAAGCTGTGGAGGACACAGACACGGAACAGACTGGTGTCAGTACCAGTCCACAGACACACTGCTCCACTAACTAGTTCCTGGTACTGTTGTTGTCACCTGGTACACATTATTTCAGTGAAAACAGGTTCCTGAAACTTTACCAGTTCCTTGTAACAGTTCTTAGATTTGAAAAACACATGCGCTCTGTCCCTAGTACCATTTATAAAAAAAACATACACGGTTCTGGTACCAGGTGCCAGACCCTCCCGCCTCACCACATGTTTTGATCCACCACAGCCTGCAGGATGACCGAGTGCCAGCCGTTCTTGTTCAGGTACTGTTCCGGGTTCTTCCTGGTGGCGGTGACGGGGATGTGGGTCACGCCGATGGCCCCCGCACACTGCGGGTAGCAGCGGTCTTTGAAGGCCTGCAGGGTCTCGTCCAGCTGCTGGTCGCTCGGCAGCGACACGAAGCGGTGAAGAAGCCGCTCCACAATAGTGGTGCACACCTGCCGGATGATGCTACACACGGTGCCGACACCAACACCGAAAAACCCGGAGATACCGCGGTACTCCCCGGAGCGGGCCAGCCACCACAGGGTGATGGCCAAACGGCGGCCCGGTTCGATGGGGACCACGGAGGTCGTCTCCTTTCGCTTAATCGCGGGACCGATCAGTTGGAGGAGATGATCGAAGGTTGACCTGGAAACGTGAAACTGAGACTTGAACTCATCATCGTTGAAACGCTGGGCCATCGTCCAAAAGTTCTGTCTGCGCTTCGGATTCGGAACCACGGTCTGTGTGTCGGTGGCGGAGAGGAGGCTGAGAGCAGCCGCCAGGGATGAGAGCAGGAAGGCTCTTCTGCGGCGCAGGTACTGCCGCGTTCGCCGCTGCCTCTCCCGCTGCTCCCGCAGCCTGCGCCGCCGCAGCAGCAAACTCGTCTTGAGCCGCACCTGCTCAAACAGTTGGAGCTCGAATTCCGCAGGAAGAGTCGAACTGAGAACCGGACCGATGAGAGCTAAGAGCGGAGCTAGCTCATTTGTCGGGTTCGACTCCATTTTCCTTCGCCTGTACACACCAACAAAAACCGTCGCCTGTTGATGACGTAGAAGTAGAGCAGTGGCACTTGTTAAAACGTTAATTATTGCCCTCTACTGGACTGGAGGACATAATTCTGCAATATCTACTATTTTAATTTTTATTTAAGAAATTCGATCGTTACTTTTTTGGTAATTCAATATTCCCCCATCTTCAGACCAAATAGTTTTTCTAAACTTTTGTCTCGTTCTGGGAATTGTTTTGTTTTGATTTTTAATATATATTTTAACTCAACTACAGCACTATCCTTGGTTTTCATTTTTAGTAACTTAATTTTTCTTCTTCTCTGCCGTCTGATCTGTCTGGATGTTTATTTTAGTTTGTTCTAAACCACCTTTTTTCAATAATAATTATAAATCTTCCTTCTTTAGCTCATTCCCAGCGTTCTTCTCCTCCTCCCTTCTTCCTCCGTCACAAACAGAGGAGTTGACAACAATGATCCCTACCACCCTGCAGGAGGCGTTGTACCTGGGTGGGCCAACAGCTGAAGTTTCAAATAATGTCAAGTCCTGGAGCGTCCCTCGGCCCAGCAGTTTACCCAGCTCTCCAAGAGTTCCCAGCATGCCTCAGTCTGACTCAGGCGAAGCGTGAAACCGGGCCTTCTGCTGTGGGGAGGTGCGGCCTGCAGGGGGCACTCTCCTCTAGGCGACTGCAATACGCTTGAGATAAATGTCCAACAAAACAATGAGAAATAATGCTGAAAGTTTCTGTCAGATGTCAGGTGGTCCTGGAGTGTTCCTGGAGTGTTCCTGGAATGGTCCTGGAATGGTCCTGGAGTTGACCTGGAGTACGGTACACACTGTACATTGTTGAAAACTACGTTCACAGACCAAAGAAATCAGTGATTTTAGTTCAGACCAACGTCCCTACATATACATACATACATCTGTTTGTGTTGTGAGGCACAGTAATGGGAGCAGATGGTTCTGGTCCCCGTGGCCACAGTGAGGGGTGTCAGCTGGGGACAGTGGAGGAGTTTGAGGGACAGCTGCCTGCTGGTCTGCCAGTGAGACCAGCTGCTGCAGCTGAAGGTGGAGGGTGAGCTGGGAAGCTGCGAGGCAGGAGTCCTGCAGTGGCTTCAGTTTAAAAGGTGACATCTGGCAGAGGAGGCTCAGATATGGCCCGCGGCTCAGTGACGGCCCGCGGCTCAGACAATCACTGACAAGTTCAATGTTGTCTGACAGCATTTAACTCAGGAGGTGGGAGTGGGGGGGGGTGGGGGTTACTCACCTGTTGTCTGAGGTGATGGATAAAGGGGGGGGGTCTTGAATATTTATTTTAATTTGAATTTTTTTTTTTTTTTCTGTAAAGAAAATAACCAGCTTGACACGTGGAGCTACTGGTCGACCAGACAAACAAAAACCCCAGTCACCCAAGAGGTGAGGTGAAGATCCCCCACAGAGACGTCTGACTGACACAGAGAAGACAGTGGACAGAGAAGACAGTGGACAGAGAGGACAGTGGACAGAAGGACAGCTTCTGTCTGTAACTTTTAATCATTCTTTTCATGTTGACATAGAAAAACCTGAAGAATCAACACAAACTGTCGATCTTTTCAGTCTCTGAACTGGGCCTGGGACAATCCCAGCAGTCACCAGGTGAGGGCAGAGTTACACCGTGCCCATCACAGGGTCAGGTATCAGGACAAACAGTCATTCACACACATTCACACCTATGGTCAGAAGACCACCATATCAGGAGGAACTTCAGTCCAAAACACTGAGGAAAACAAGTGCAGCCTATGTTTGTGAGGCAGAGGATCACGTGACTGTCCGAGGCGTCTGATTGGACAGAGTCACGTCGCCATTGTCTGTGTGTTTACGGTGACGTCAGCGTCTAATTCAGGTGATACAGACATGAAGGTAACTGACAGGTCAGTCGACCAATCAGAGCCTGTAAGTGTTTCTGTTAAGGACCGGTTCTTTTTTTTTTAAGACTTGGTTCTACCTTTAAGTCCAGTCTTTAGACGTCGTTCATCCCTGTCTTCAGCTCCTGCACCTCCCACTGACTCCTCACTTTATCGTCTCCCAACGTGACCTCTGGCCGCTGCAGCATCGTCTGCTCTAATCCGGTCAGATGTGGCCCCGGGGGGAGCGGGGAGACTGAGGGGGCAAAGTTAGAATATCCTGGGACAAGAGCAGAGGTGTAGTAGAAATGTGGGGGCAGGGGGGCGCTGTGGGGGAACAGGGTCCGGGGTATGAAGGGGGGTGTGGGCCTCTGAGAGGAGTCACCAGATCCTGGGGTTTTGTCTGAGGAGGCGGCCAGTTCAGCCAGAGACCAGAGTCTGGGTTTGGAGACTGGACCCTGGACGGAGCCACCAGGACCTCTGAGGTCCTCAGACGGTGGACTGGAAGTAGGGTCCGGCTCCGGGGGTCTCAGCGTCCGAGGTGTGGTGTGTTGAGGAGAGCTGCCAGTGGGGGCTGGGCCTGTGATGGGGGGCGGTCCTCGGTCCAGAGACTCAGTGAAGTCTGGATGTTTGAGGACAACGTCAGTGCTGCCGTCTCTGCAGGTCAGAGGATGACAGCGCCCCACTGAGGATAGAGGAAGGTCTGCAGGACAGAACAGAGGACGGGATTAGTTCACACACACACACAGACACACACACACGTACACACACTCACCAGCCGTCTCCGTCTCATCAGTTCTCATCTTCATCGTGACATCATCGTCCTCATGTCTCCCCAGATCAACGTCCTCCTCATCCTCGTCTTCACTGCGGTTCCTGGGAGTCCATGTCAACTTGTTCTCCTTCTTCAGTCGACGGCGAGCGTTGGCGAACCAGGTCGACACCTGAGGGTGAGGAACAGGGTGAGGACACACCAGTGTGGGATGGACCATGGGTGGACCAGTGACCCACCTGCGTGGACCAGTGACCCACCTGTGTGAGGCTCATCTTGGTGACGATGGCCAACATGATCTTCTCTCCTTTGGTTGGATACGGATTCTTCCGGTGCTCGTTCAGCCAGACCTTGAGCGTGGCCGTAGCGTCTCGTGTGGCGTTCTTCCTGTAGGTGGGGTCTCCGTACGGGTACGGCGCCAGGGCCCCCAACGGGTGGAACTCTAAAGAACCAGAGGAGGGGGAGGAAGAGTAGGAGGAGGAGGGGCCGAAGCCTGGACCCTGAGAAAACAGACAGAGAAGAACTCGAACTGTTCTGGTTCTGACGTGGTTCTGGTTCTGACGTGGTTCTGGTTCTGATGTGGTTCTGGTTCTAAGTCTCACTGAGATCAAAATTAAAACATTTAATGAATGTTTTAATTTGGGTTTTTTTGTTGGATGTTGAAAATAAATACTTCGACTCAAAAAAACCAAATCAATAAAATGATTTTTTAAATACTTATCATAAAAAATGTAAAAAATATAGATATTAATATTAAAGAATAAATTATATAAGATAAATCATATAAAATAAAATTAATGTTAACTGTTTTAGTGTAAATTTAGATTTTATGATAAATTATTCTTAGTGCATTTAAATTTAATTTCAAAACATTTTAAACATTTGTTTTTTATCTGAAACTGTATTTTGTAATAATAATAATTTATTTATTTTCTACATTAGACTTTAATTTCTTGGCTCTGACGCAGCAGCATCCACAGACCGTGACGTTTATTAAACAATATAAAAAATATTTCAAAGTTTTATCTTTTTATGTGAAGAATTCTTAATTATAATTTTTACATTCTGTCTTCTTTAATCAAACCTAAAGAAATTGAATGAATGAAATGCTGACAAATTAAACTCAAATTAATGAAATTAAATTAAATTAAATTAAAAAGTAAAAACCCGTCTCCTCCGTCTCTCACCTCAAAACTCCTTGGTTCTCCACCGAGCCGCAGCTGAGCCTTAAACCCCGCAGAGGACGGAGCTGAACTGAAGTAAGGAGCAAAAGCCGAGCGACAGGAGGAGGAGGAGCAGGAGCGGTCCAGCTCCACTGACCTGCAACCTGGGATGAACCTAGAGCTGAAGGAAGAAGAGGAAGAGGAGGGGGAGGAAGAGGAGCGCAGAGCCAGAGAGACCGAAGGCTGGAAGAGGAAACTCTGAGCTGGAAAAGCCATGACGCGTTTACGTACTGAGCAAAGTGACATCTGAGCAGAGAGGAGGAGAGGGTTCCTGGGACAGAGAGGAACAGGAGGAGGAGGAGGAGGAGGAGGAGGGCAGAAGATGGAGAGGGAGGAGATAGAAGTGGAGGAGGAGGGAAACCAGGAGAGTAGAACCCAGAGTTCTGCTCTTCTGGTTTTCCTCCTTCGCCACAAAACTGATTTTTAAAAAGACCAAACTTAGAACATGTTTAAATAATCAAGGTGACCGGGAATCAGACCAAAGTCCACAGAGAAAATCAGTGATTTTAGCTCAGACCAAAGTCACCAAGAACCAACCAGTATCTTTACCTAGAGTATAGCGGGGGTTCACACCCCAGGCAGCCACAATAACACACTTGAAAATAATGTTTGTTTTTTTCTATAATATATAGATCAGTAACTTTTCTTTCTTTTGTTTGTTTTGTTCTTAGATTTATCCCAGGATCGGGATGTGAAAACTCGCAGCCAATCAGGGTGAATGAGCAGAGTCCAGTGACAGCATCTCAGTGCTGGTTGTCACTCAGGTAGAGGAGGTAGGACAGCAAAGCCTGATGGGAAGTGAAGTGAGTGTCTCATGTATATTCATGGAGTCTTTGTTCTTGGTTCGAAGCCTGTGTGGTCAGATCCTGACGTCTGACAGACTCTTCTTCTTTAAACAAACACACACACACACACACACACACACACTCAGACTTCAGCTCCGTGGGAGTGGACTGGGACTGGACTGGGACTGGACTGGTACTGGACTGGTACTGGACTGATCCAGATCTGTTAGAAACCTGACAGAATCACAGAAACATGTACTGTATAAACAGTGGTGTGTGTGTGTGTGTGTGTGTGTGTGTGGACTCAGACAAACTGATGCTGAAGATGAAAATGTTTACGATGATATTGTTGTTGAACTGTTGTTGACAGAGGTTCTCAACCACTGGCCTCCTGACCTGTCACAGGCCATATAGTTTATCACGATGCTCCATCAAAAATAAAAAATGTTTTGACTTTGTTTCAAATGGACTCATTTGCATGTTTGATTGTAAATCAACTGTAATCAACAACCCATAGAGTTGCCCCCTGGTGGACAATCTCTATAATTCTTTTTACTAACCACAGTCTAACCTTGTCAGTACTGTCTGACCGTGTCCCCTGACCCAATGAAAGGAAAAAAGATTCTCCCTCTATCGCATCTTCTAGTGCCATAAATAGAAGTGGCTGTGACTGCGCCCCCTGCTGTGTGAGTGCTGACAGACTGAAGGACAGTCTTCTGCGTCCCACTGCGGCTCAGTAATTAATGTGAAGTACCAGCAGGAGTCTGATTAAAGGTCGTGACCTCACAGCTCTCCGCTGACCCATAAACAGCAGTAAAAGTGTCTTGGGAGCGCCACCAAGTGGTGGGCACAGCTAAATCCAGGCAGCAGGCTGTAACTCCAGGTTCCTCTTCCATCTCCTTCTCCTCTTGTATCTCTGTCCTCCTTTATTTCTAGATTCTGGAAAGGTGTCAGATCAATATCAGAGGAGCAGGAAGAATCGGCCGTCAGCTGCACCTCCTGCTGCACCTCCTGCTGCACCTCCTGCTGCACCTCCTGCTGCACCTCCTGCTGCACCTCCTGCTGACGTTTCCTTTCCCTCTGAAATGAAACTAAACGTCTGTTTAAACATCAGAGGATTTTCAAAATCTTGTGCTGAAAGTCAAACAGTGTTGACGTCCACTCAGGTGTCTTCACAGGACGTCTCTGTCTTCACTGGGTGTGTGTGTGTGTGACAGGTGGAGACGTCCGTCTCTCTGTTGGACGTTTGTTCTCTACATCAAAGCTCCAGTTTGGAGACTCGAGGCGTCTCTGTACCAGCGCTGACTTCACACCATCGACACCGTCTTCACTGTCACTTAGCTGTGGTTAGAAACTCTGACGCTGACGTGAGTGACAGGCGGCTGGTCCACTGGGACACAGCCCAGTTAATCTGTGTTTAAACCACAAACAGTTTCTACAAAAACACGTCAGAATAAACCAGAGGAGACAGTGTGACGGACAGGATGATGTTGTGCGGGAACCAGGAGGAGAACCAGGAGGAGGAGGAGGTGGAGAAGGAGACGGGGGTTTAAAGGATCCAGTCTTTGAAGTCCCTCTCTGGTCTGAGGTACAGACTCAGCTGATCCTGTCACTTCAGGACTTCATCATTTCACAACAGTCGTCTTTACCTGACACACCTGAACACAACACGGTGGCTTCACGTGTCTCTTGTCAGTCTGACAGGAAGTGTTTGTTCCTGGGAACATCAGCCAGGGTTCCACCCTCTCTTTGGATTTTCTACTGTTGAGCAAGGCTGATGAACTGAAGAGTCAGTAGGTGGCAGTAAAGATGCTCACAAGATTCAAATCTCCTGGTAGAGACCAGAGAAGAAGAAAGGCTGAAGGAGTTAGCGTAGCCTAGCCTCGTTGAAGGACCTGCTAACTCCGTTAGCTTCCTCTTTACATGCTAGTCAACTGTTAAAATTGTTCAACATAACCTGTGATGTCATCATCATCATCATCATCATCGTGATGTCCTGAGGTCATGAATATTGAACAATGGGTTAGAGGTCAACGACCTTTGTCACCAGTTTTGTGTCAGACCTTTGTTCCAGGGACTTGGCCTTGACGTTCTTCTGAATCTTTCTACGTTGATGATATCACCCCCCCCCCCCCCCACACACACACACACACACACACCGTCCCAGCTGAAGGCTGATCCCAGAGCTTATGTCTGTAATTAAATCATTAACTCCCACCCCCCCCCCCCACCTTCGCCCCCCAGTCTCTTTTTCTGTTTGAACACCAAATAATGATTTTCTGCTGGAGGAATTACAAGGCTCAACATGTGATCAGGTCCGTCCGCTGTCCCTCAGCACACACACCTCATTATGGAGTCACTGCAGGATGATCACGTCTTTGATTAATGAGAACTTAATCAACACTGGTCCAAGCTGCTGGGTCACATGGTCCAGTCACGCCAAAGTACACTAACCAGGAGGTGAAGTTTCTGTCTGGGTTGATGAGGCGGAGCCTGAGGCTCCTCTCTCCTCTGATTGGCTCCTTCATGTGGAGATCCTCTTCAGTCCAAGTCTGATGAAGACTATGATGTGAGTGGACTTCAGTGAAAATGAAAGCTCGTTATTTCTGACGATGTTGACCTCCGACCTTCATCAACGGCTCTGCTGGAAAACCTTCTGATCAGTGACAGCGTCTTCATATTCCACTGACAGACCAATGTGATCACACGGGGAATCAAACCGACGACACGTTTTCCCTTCTGAGGAAATGATCACGAGATGAATGAAGTTCAGTCTGAAAACAGAGAAGAAAAGATTGGTTATTAATTAACACCGAAACACACGTCTGTCAGGATGGGGAGGAGAAGGGGGGTAGGAAGAGGCAGAGGATGAGGAGGAGGAGGGGTGGCTGGATAAGGGGAAGGTGAAGGACGGGGAGGAGGTGGAGCTGCTGCTGTTTTTCCCACCCTGTCAACACACACACACACACACACAGAGTGTGTGTCCCAGTCAGTGGAGTTAAACCAGATCAGAGAGCCCGGGGTCTGAACCTGTCAGAGTCCAGAGCTGAGCGACAGTCGACACAAGAGGGAGACAAAGAACAGAAGGAACCGTGGGTCACGTGACATGAAGCAGCCTGAACAAACTGTCATTTTTGAGATGATGTCAGTGATTTGTTCTTTTTAGATTTCCTTCTGAAGCCAACCAGCGACAGCTAAACGATGGTAATGAGGGTCGCTCCTGGTTCAGGGGCGAGAACGATGAGAAGTGTCACTAAAAAGGAGGAGCTCAGGAGGAGTTCAGCTGCTCCTGCTGAGTGTGTGATGTAGAGGAGACGGAGTGACAGCTGTGACACAGTGAAAACAACACGGAGTCGAACACTGACTCCGTCTGTTGTCACAGTCTTCACAGTGATTGGCTGAAGAGACAGCGTCTTATTTCTATTGGCTGTCCATCTGATGAAACCATGTGTCAATATATGTGACATATATGTCAACACTGGCCAACGTGGACACATTTGTTTCCCCAGGTGTTCTTCTGTTACCTGTCGTCCAGTGTGATGTCATCGTTGAAGTGGAATCTGATTGGACACCTTCTGTCACTCTGGTCATGTCACCTAAATGTCTTTTTTTATTTCTTTGAAAATGAGGTGAAGGACTCAGTTTGGTGTCAAGTGTGTGGTGAGGGAGTTCATCCTACTAATGTGTAATCACATGTGGTAATAAGACACTGATATCTATCTATATTATATAGATATTTCAGAAAACTTGGCCTTGAAATGGCCAGAAACACCGGAAACGGAACATGAAATCTTCCGAGACTCGGTATGAAAAACTTCGTTTCCCAAAAGTCAAAGCGGCTGATGCGTTTCCTTAACAACGCGATGGAGCGGTGAAGCCTGATTTACTTGGTAACAGAGTCCCGGTCGTGTAAGTTTTTTTCACTTTTAACACTTACATTCATGTTTTTGTTTATTTAAATTAACGAGAAAGCGCCTTTGGCTACGAGAGCGCGGGTTACTGCTGTAAAAGAACAGACGGAACAAGGCTAGCACGTTAGCTTAGCGCCATCGCTAGTTTGAAATTTAAAAAAAACAATAACAATTCAAACTTAAACTTTAAGCTTCGTAATGTCGCAGCCACGTGTCCACACACTAACAACAAACAACAAACACTGTATAAAATTAATTAAAATGGATAAGCGGGTTTTTACAGTTTTTACAAGAACAACTTACATTTTTGTGTTTATTGAGCAGGGCACAGTTATGTGACCTGTTTCCATAAAAAAATAAAAATAATTTAGACCTGAATATATACTGTTAATACGGCAAACATTTGAGACCAAAATATTACGAATAGGAACCATTTCCATAAATGATCACGTGCTATTTGTATTTAGTTCATCTTACAATATTACATGTGGTATAAATAAAACATTTTCCCAAGTTAAATGTTCCTGCTCCCTGTGTTTGTTTCTCAGACCGTCAAATGTCCAGTCAACATGATGTAGCAGCAGCAGCAGCAGCAGCAGCTGGTGACATGTCCCGACCCAAAGCTGTTGTACCAGGTCAGTCATCCTTAAAACATTGACCTGTGTGTTTTCATCACAAACTGTGATTACTGTGTAAATAGACTGAAGGCACCGTTCATCACGTCTCAGTGGTTTTCATCATAACCTTCAAGCATGTTTAAAACCAACAGATGATTTCAGGCTGATTTGGATCTGATTTCAGACACGTCGGTTCATCAAAATGCCCGGGTGCGAACTGACGTCTCCCGAGTGTCCAGGTCAGAGCTGGAGGACCGGTTCCTGCGTCTGTACGAGGAGTCCTTCCTCTTCAAACAGCACATCCAGACACAGGAAGACAAGATCAAACAGTAAGACGACCTGGGTGCACTCAGCTGACCTGGTGCACCTGGTCACCTCTGAGTGTTTTCACCTGGTGGGACATTGACCTCACAGACTGTGTCTCTCACCCGTTCAGACTGGGAACTAAACTGGTGAAGCTGGTGAAGGACCGTGGACGGATGGAGCAGCTGGCTGCAGGAGGGGCTCAGCCCGTCCCTGGAGTTCGAAACGTAGAGATGGAGATGGTGATGGAGGAACTCCAGGAGAAGGTCAGGGGACTGCAGACAGAGAATGAGGGGCTCAAACAGCGCCTGCTAGTGGCCAAACAGCAGTTGATGAATTCCCAGAACAGCAGGCCACGTCCATACAAACACATCCCACCCAGGGTGAACTCTGGGTTAAAGAGGAGAGACGACTCTTCACCTGTCAGTCATGTAAGACCAGGTCTGGAGGAGACCAGGTCCAAGAATCGGAATCTGTGAGTTCAGCACCCACACATGTTCCCTGGACTGGGGCAGCGTCCTGTGTCGACCAGTCTGAGTCTGAGTTAAAGTTTGATTTTCATTCTTCTGACACTGTGATGATGCCTCGTTGTTTTCACCGCAGAGAGAATGTGATAGAGTCTCAGCGGCGCCACATAGAGGAGATGGAGGTGGAGTTTGAGCAGCTGCAGGTGGAGATGAGGAGTAAGGAGGCGGAATATGAAGACCGACTTCAGCAGGTGCAACAGATCAACAAACTCAGGTCAGCTGACTGAAGTCACCTCTGGTACTGACCGTGACCTCTGACCCTGAATTAGAGGTTTACCTGTGATTGGTTGATTTCACCTGTGGTTAAACAAACATGTACTTTACTCTTCTTCTCTCTCAGGTCCCACGTCAACGACAACGTGACGCAAATCAAACTACAGAAGCTGCTGACGGACAAATCCAACGCCGTCACTGAGCTGGAGGCTGAGCTCCAGGAGGTGAGCTGCACCACCAACACCACCCACTCCTCACTGGTGTGAAGGAACATCAGGAACATCAGATGGTACCACAGCTCAGCTCTCTCACTGACCTGCTGTCAAACCTGTCTGTTTCAGCACAAGCAGACCCTGAAGGCCGCCGTCCAGAAGTTGGACCACCTCTCTGAGCAGCTCAGACAGGAGAAGCAGAAGTGTCGGGATCTGGAGACCCAGCTGCAGGTCTCCAGCAGCAGGCTGGAGCTGGTGAGTCTGTGACCTTTGACCTTTTAATCCATACAGACACAAAGGTCAAGGTTAGACTCTAGAAATACTGCACCTGGGTACTGGACAGACCCAGTGTGTACTGCAGTTTGTCCAAAGAAGAAGAAGGGAAGGGCAGCTTTAACGGATGAAGGACTTTTCTAGAAAATACTAGAATGTTTTTTTTCAGCTGTGTGTGTTCAGAGGATGAAGATCAGACTGAAGTTCTGTCTCTCTGTGCAGCTGCCGCAGCAGCTGAGTGAAGTAGAGCAGGAGAGAGATCAGCTGAAGGAGAGCTACAACAAACTGATGGACAGGTGAGACCACAGCAACCTGCAGGATCAGAGAGATTTGACTGGGTCTGTGAAGAACTTCACGTCTGAGAGACACTGCTCCCCCTCTGTGTCCCCCAGCATCTTTGACACGTCTCAGCAGCAGAGGTGGCAGGTCCAGGAGCAGCAGCTGAAGCTCCAGATCCTTCAGCTGGAGACGGCTCTGAAGGCCGACCTCCACGACAAGAACCAGATCCTCCAGAGGCTGAAGGCTGAGCGGGGTGTGTTGACTGGAGACGAGGGCAGAGGAATGTAGATGATGGGGTTGTTGGTTAAACTCCTCCACCCTGACAGGATTCATGTTTGTGTGTTCTCTAGAGAATCATGACAAACTGGTGGAAGAAAACAAGAATCTTCAGCTTCAGCTCCTGGAGCAGAGAGAAGAAAACCGCTCACTGATTGGTCGACTACAGTCCAACACCAAGGTGACACAAATGAATTTATATTTAACAGGAATTTGAAGCAAAAAATTAACGTGACCTTCAGGAGGTGGCAGGAGCTGGGGGGGCGCTGTTGAGCATCCTGCTCAGAAGACAGGTTAACACTGAAATTGAGCAGCAAATATTTTCTTGTTTTATTTTTAAGGTGCATGAACATCGGACGGAAAGGAGTGATCTTAGCTTCCTGGAGCAGGAGGAGGGAGGAGGGAGGAGCACCAGTACAGACAGCTGTGTCCAGGAGCTTGAGGCCGCACACGCTGAGACCATCCTGGAGCTGGAGAAGGCCAGACACCTTCTGATCACCGAGAGCAAGATCAGCCAGGACTACAAGGTTTCACCTTCATCACCTTCATCTTCTTCATACTCATCATCATCATTCTGTCTCTGTTTGAGGTGAACTGTGGCTCTAACCCGACCACAGGAGCTTCCTCTGTCGCGTCTCCTCCTGACCTCTGCTTCATCTTTATCCATTTGATTTATGGACTGGTGCGCCCTCTATTGGCTGCTGTCACTGTGATGCGTGTGATTCATTTTTGGCCAAGGGCGTCCTTTAAAAAAGGTGGATGACGTTGACACCACGGTGTCTGGCTGTTGATGACTTCTCTCTGACACCAGGTGGAGCTGGAGGCCATGCAGCAGAAGATGGACAGTGACAGAGTGAGCTACAGGCAGAAGATGGACCATCAGACCCAGCTGCTCCACACCAGCAACGCTAAGATCATGAAGCTACAAGGTAAGGAGTAGAGCGTAGTACTGAGGAACACAGAGTGCAGTACAGGTGGAGACGTAGTGACATGTTGGTTCGTTCCTCCTCCCTTGATCCTCAGCTCAGCTGAAGGAGAAGGTGTACTCCTCACCCATCTTCAGAGCAGACCTCACAGGGGAGCACGGAGGAGAAGACTTGGACCAACCCCTGGGTCTGGAGTCTGGAGAAGCTCTGCTGGAGCTTCAGCTGGTCAGCGCCTCACTGTCTCCTGCTCTCCTCCACACTCTGGGGGACAGTGAACCCTACACCTTCTGCACCTACTCCTTCTATCTATTCAAGCTGCACTCCACTCCAGTGGTGATGGGGCGCAGACCTCAGTATGGCTACACCTCCAAGTACGTGACCAGCATGAACCAAGACTTCAGAGACTACCTCCGCACAGACGTGCTCACTGTGGAGCTGCATCAGGCCCTGGGCACCGACTGGAGGACACTGGGGGCCGGGCAGATCCCACTGCAGCAGCTGCTGGAGCAGAACACAAAGGTCCAGGGGACGATGGAGCTGGAGGGTGAGTGTTGGCAGGCACACCACCCAGAAAGAGGGGAGAGTGAGACGTGAAAAAGTTTACATGTTTAGAAAAAAGTGTTAAAGAAGAGTGGCTTCTCTGCACTGTTCTGATTCTGCTCCAGGTTCTGAGTTTGGGTCTGTGGGAACTGTCACTTACTGGTTGAAGCTGTCAAGAGACTCCAGTGATGTCATCAGGTCTGCTCCAGACTCCAGTGATGTCATCAGGTCTGCTCCAGACTCCAGTGATGTCATCAGTTGTCGTCTGAGTCCAGATCCACACGTGAGACCTTTTTCTTTCTACTTCCTGTCTGTGAGGATCTAATGATAACTTTACAGACAGGATCACTGACTGTAACTGACACCACCCATCACTGACACCACCCATCACTGACACCAACTGTAACTGACACCACCTATCACTAATCACTGGCACAAATACAAACACCTTCCATCGAGTGGTTTTTGTCAAAAAGAGCGCCACAGTGTGGTCTTTGGAGGAAAAGTCATGAACATTTGTTTCTTCTCGTCAGGGTCTGAGTCCTGCACCAAAACCCAGACCAGAGTCTCAACCAAAGGACGGACCTGGGACCAAAAAAGTCACCTTTGTTAATTCTGCTGCTGAAGATGAACTGGTGAGATTTTAACTGAACTGCAGTTAAAATGGTCTGAAGTCAGTGATGGAGGAGAGAGAGACGGAGGAAGGAGGGACTACTGAGGAGTAATGATGAGGATTATTAATAAGGATTATTAATGAGGATAAATTGTGATTATTACTGAGGGTTAATGAGGATTATTAGTGAAGATTTGTATCTGTTATGACTTTCATCTTTCATCTCCATTTTAATCCTGTAAACATTAAAGCTCTGACCATCAATACCAACAAAGCAGAAGTAAACAAATATCTTTGTCTTTTCAGGCTGCAGGCAGCAGACTAACACCACCATCACTTCCACCTCTGAAAAAGGTGGAGAAGGAAACAGTAAGTTTGTCTTCTGTTCTCATCTTCTACGTGGTTCTGGTTCTGACACCAGGATGAGAACAGTTTCTGTTTTTGTTTTGTTTTTGTTTTTTTGTATCTTTTCAGGTCTGGACTCCAGCTGCTGTAAAAACCGGAGAGAAAGACCAGGATGAGGACAAGTCTATCTTCTCGGTGGGTCAGCTGGTCCCTGGGTCCCAGTCGGACTCAGACGGTTCTGAGGAAGTCAGTGAAGGTCAGATAACAACACGTATTGATCCTGGTCAATTAATAATGAGGAGTTTCTGCTTCTGGTGGAGAATGAGCCGAGTGTTTGTTTGTGAAATCCAAACAAACACAGAACATGTTCACAGAGCCGAGCGTTCAGGCCCTGAGTTTTGTCTCTCAGGTGCACAGGCTCAGTTTGAAAATAAAATAAAATGAAAAATGCGCTTTGGTCTCGTCACAACATAAGACCGTGAGTTCACGTTCTGCTCATGTTCATGTTCTTCTTTGTTTCCCTTCTGTTCCCTCCAGAGGCTGCAGGTGAATCGGCTCAGTCTGACAGTGATGACATCATCGTTCACAGCCAGGCCACAGGGAGGAAGGTCAGTGAACGGCCCGGTTTTGTTTACCTTCTCACTGGGCTCTCCCTCCTCTCTGTTCAGATCGATCTGCAGCTGGTGGTGGGCAGAGGTTCTGGGAGCTGCTGTTTATTTTTGTGGAGGTCCAGTGTTGGACTGGATTCATTATTTATATCTCCACCTCTGAGCTGCAGCGCTGAAACCTACAGTAAATAGTCTGTGGTCAGTGTTTACATTTTACAAGAGTAAAAGGAGCTGAAAAAAATAAACCTGTGGAAAAACAAATATATCACCGTAAAAATTGAATCTGTGAAGAAAAAAAACAAATTAGCCAAGAAGACAGCAGTGAAACTCACAACAAACAGGAGGAGTCATAGTCAGCAGGTCAGGGGATATTGGTGTTCAACATAAGGAGCCCCTCTTAGAGCTGCTCCTGGTTCCTGCAGCCAGAGGTCTGCAGATGATGACACTAAACTCCACCCTTCGTCCTCAGCCCTCAGAGCGGATCATGGTGGAGGTGGTTTCTCTCAGCTTGAGGCCAGAGTCCCGTGTGGCCCGTGACCCCAGTGTGGTACGTCTGTTTGTGGAGTACTCCTTCCTGGACCTGCCCACAGAAGAGACTCCCCTGTCTCTCCCCAAACCCACCCTGGGCAGGGGCATCAACTTCAACTACAGCAAAGGTCAGAGTCTGGAGGTCAGATGAGAACCAGCACCGTCAGGAGACCCCCCCCCTCACCCTCACCCACCCCCGACTCCCCCTCCCACATCATTCTAACTCTCTGTGACTCTGCTGTTCCTCAGTTATTCCTGTGGATGCTGAGAACAACGCAGCCAGGAGACAGCTGCTGAAGACAGTCCTGCAGGGACAACGTCCTCACATGGAAGAGTAAGACACCTGAGTGTGTGTGTGTGTGTGTGTGTGTTGTCCTGGACTCAAATCTGCCCCTCTTCAGGATCAGGTTCACCGTGGTGAGTGAGCCTCCAGAGGAAGAAGAACAGGACAGAGAGTGTGAGGATGTGGGCGTGGCCTTCCTGAAGATCCCATCAATCCTGGAGAGACAAGAGGATCTGACCGACACCAGTCTGGACGGTCAGTACGGCCACACAGCACTATATGGAGATATACTGTATATATACATATATGTATGTATGTATGTATATGTGTGTGTGTCCTGCAGTTGTGGACGTGTTGGACAGCAGTGAGGTGGTTGGGAGTCTGACGGTGTCTGTGGAAGGACTAGAGGCTCTGCAGGCCATCATGGATGACCAGGACTTGACTACTTGACAACTTCCCTTCAGTTTTGTGTCCAGACTGGTCAGCTGTTCCAGGGTCTGACCCCCAGGAGAACATGTGTCTGTGAAGAAGAAACAACACAAAAATTGAGAGAGTTCCAGTATCGAGTGGATGACAGCCGAAATTTCTAGCTTTCCAAAGGTTTTGTCAATTTACCTCTAAAAAGTTTGGAAGGTTTTGTCAATTTACCTCTAAAAAGCTTGGTTTTTTTCAATCCTGGTGGGCATTTTATAGAAGGAAGATATTCTCAACGAATTCCCACCGGCCCACAGGCACAACCTCGCCCCATAGTGGTTAAGTTCGGTAATTGGCGGACTAAAGAAGAGGTGATAAAGAGAGAGCATGGCCAAAAAGGTGTCGAAGGAAAAACAAATGAAGTTTCAGACGCCATACTCTGCCAAGATGCAGATCTGGGCTCCCAGTTACTGCGGTGAAGACCCTGTCACACTGGACCAAGAGGAGATCTAGCTTCTGTCCACCTGACAGGCGCCGGGGAGGAGAGACCGGGTCAGAAATCAGGAGCCTTTTATTTACAATGCACCACAAGGCTCCTTTGAAGCGAACCTCAGCATCGGAAACAACTGTTCTGATGTTCCGTTTCAGACTGTTTTAGAATGTTCTCGTTCGCGTACTTCCACGGACTCCAGGAGAGATTTTTTGGCTGTGTGACAATCAACAATGAATGGGCAAACCATTAATGTGATCTGTTTTGATGTGAATGGGATTTTCAACCCAGCTGAGACAAAAATGAAAAGCGAGAATGTGCTTTTGCAGGAGACACACCTCACTCCATCTGAACATGAAAAACTTAAAAGAATGGGTTTTTCGAGGATGTACAACTCACCTTATAAATCAGGCCACAGGGAGGCGTAGCGACGTTGATTTCACAACAAATACCATTTGAACAGGTCTCAGAGATACGTAGTAGTCTCAGGGAAAATACATGATGTTATTATAACAATTTGTAATATTTATGCTTAATATTGAAATCCATCCATCCATCCATCCATTTTCATCCGCTTATCCGTTACCGGGTCGCGGGGGCAGCAGTCGCCACCCAAATCACATTGCACCGTACCAACCCCCCTAAACCTTCCTGCGGGTGGTGAGTCCACTGGAAAATATTTAAATAAATACAATAAATACACAAGAAATCGAAAATAAGTTTACAAATTAAATTAGGAATTTGTTGAACTGTGGGCCAAGTGGGTTAGAACGGACAGAAGTACTGAATGGATGACTCTGTATGGCTGTTTTTATACTTTACTACTGAACGTGTTATTGGGAATAACGATTAGCTTGTACCACCTGTATTTTGTTTTAAAAATCCTGGGTAGTGGTTTCTAAATTCACCCTTTTATATGTCGATCTTTACTAGTTTGTTTCACTTGTGAGCGCAGATATACCAGTGTTTAATGGCCGGAAAAAAATAATGTCAAGAAATGACACAAAAATTTAAGTGGGTGTTATCATCCTGCACTGACCCCTGGTGGTCACAGAGAAGATGACCTGCACACGACCTGGTATCTGAAGACTAACAATGTGGTTCGTGGAGTCGTTGTGGTGGAGAACATTGTGTGACATTGTGAAGGGGCCAGTTCTGAATAACAGGAAAGACCGGGCACAGGCACAGATGATAACAGGAAGACGTTGGCCATGATTTATTGGGTATTATATAACATCGTCATGTTTGTCTGTGTCTATAAAAAGGACCAGCACAGAAGGTGAGATTTGGTGAATGTTCAGATGAGATTCATTGTTGGACCTGCCATGGTTAGAAACCTTTACAGTAATATAATAAATCCCCTGAGATGGAGAAGTGTGTCCTGGTCCGCCTCATTTGTAGATATACAATACAGTATTATTGGTGACTGTGACGTGACGGCTTGGGCCTCCGGACCAGGGTGGCTGGGTTCCCCCACTGGACAGGCTGTGCAGCGCGCACAAGAGGTAGGAATTTTTCCTCCTATTATTGCAAACTGGATTGTGTTTTTTTATAGGGCAGGGCAGCTTTACATCGCATACACTGTGCTCCATGTTAGCTGAGTCTGGCTCCAGTTAACTCCTGGAGAAGTCATTACCCCTGGGGTTCACATTCTTTGTCCACCCTTCACTGTGAATGTTTACATATTGTGTTCAATAAAAACATGTAAACATATGATTTTATTTGTGTGGTATTAGTCTAAGCAGACTGTGTTTGTCTAGTGATGTGATTTAGATGAAGATCTGAATATATTTTATAACTAATTTATGCAGAAATCCAAACACTCCCAAATGGGTTAACATACTTTTTCTTGCAACTGTACAGCTCTCTCTATAAGGTCTCAACTTTCCCATCACCCCTCTCTTTGGTCCTCAAACAAGCGCCCCTGGTGGAGGGGGGTGGTGGGGTGGAGTCCTGGATGTCAGCTGCAGCTGCCACTGTGAAGAGGAGGAGGAGGAGAAGGAGAAACAGATCAGATCCCCAGACTGAGGACGGAGACGGACAGACCTCGGCCTCACTGCAGCCACAGGTAAGACGCAGACAGACGGGGACGGGGGGGGACCTGATGACCTGGTGTTGACCATCAGGACCACTGCAGACCACGGTTGGTGTTGATAGTCTTCAGTGACCCCTGACTCCTCCTAACTCCTCCTATGACACAGTCAAAGGTCAAAGATTTTCAGATGTTTGTTGACGTCACCTCGATCCATTCTAGAACGATGACGCGTTTTATTTTAATGAAAGATTCTGATCGGACAGTGGTCGGATCCCTGTGGACGATGACCGTTGTCGGTGCAGATGTTTGCGTCTGAGGAGTTCTTTGTTTTAGTTGTATTTTCTCTGTGTCCTGACTGTGACATCACCATGGCAACCTGCTCCACGATGCTGTGTTCCTACAGCAGGAGGTTCCAGCTGCTGATGAAGGTCCAGAGACCAGAGGTCAGATCAGACAGAACCTCCAGTGTAGTTGAGGTAAGGTCAAAGGTCATTGAGATGAGGTCTGTTAAAGGTACAGTCCTCAGAACTAGGGCGCCATCTACTGCAATGGCAACTGTGTCACAGCCTCTTAATTATTCACAGTGATTGAAGAACCCAGAGGGTTGTGGGTTTGATTTTGTCTGTAATATTGCACTCCCAGGTAAAGGGGAGTCAGTGACTGACTGTCCTCTGAGGGACAGACACAGGTGTGGACTGACTGTCCTCTGTTGGACTGAGGCAGAAGTTCATCAGTAACAGGTCCCTGAAGAGGAGCACACGCCCTCTGGTGTTTGGAGAAGGCAGTGGGTGGAGCAGGTGTAGATTACCATCCTTCAGGGTGTGTGTGTTTTAAGAATTCATGAGTCATTGTGTGTGCGTCGTCCAGACGACTGCGTTCTGACCAGTTTAAATGTAAACAACTATCCAGAGACCGACTTCTCAACCTCTCTGATACGTGTGTCTCCCCCCCCCGACTCCCCCACCTCCCTGCATCACAGACACTCACCATGAGCTCAGAGGAGGACGCCCGCTGGCTGGACTGGGTCACCAAGCAGTTTGAGATCATCGCAGGAGACGACAAGGAGATCAGTCTGGACGAGTTCAAAACTGCTCTGAAGGTCAAAGAGGTGAGTCACTGCACTGCAGCATGAGTGAGGCTTTGACCTCTGACCTCTGACCTGTGGTCTCTGCCTCCAGTCCTTCTTTGCAGAGCGTTTCTTTGCCCTCTTTGACTCCGACGGCAGCTGCTCCATCAGTCTGGACGAACTGCTGGAGGCCCTGGACCTCCTCATCCACGGCAGCGAGGCCGACAAACTGCGCTTCCTGTTTCAGGTCTACGATGTGGACGGTCAGCACACACACACACACACACACATGCTAGTGAACCCCTGTGGATGGTTGGGGCTGTTCTTAGACACCGCCTTGACACCGGCTCTCCTCACAGGCAGTGGTTCTATTGATCCAGATGAACTCAGGATAGTTCTGAAGTCCTGCCTGCGTGAGAGCGCCATCTCCCTGCCAGAGGAGAAGCTGGACGACCTGACGTTAGCGCTGTTTGAGTCGGCAGATAAAGACAACAGTGGAGCGATCACCTTTGAGGAGCTGAAGGCTGAGCTGGAGGCGTTCCCAGAGGTGATGGAGAACCTCACCATCAGGTCAGAGTCCACACCACCGCCACTGACCCCCCAGGTCAGACACTGGTCCAAAGGACTAGTGCCTTAAGAAGGTTTCCTGGACCATCAGCAGAACCAAATTGTTCCTGCTTCTCTCACATCAAGGTCCAGTCAGACCAGCTCTGTGGTTCTGGACCCAGTCTCCAACAGTACCTACAGTTTCTATTTCACACAGGGGGTTTCATCTACCTTCAGGTTCTGGTTCAACAACCCCTCTAATACCCCTCTCCCCCTTCTCTCATCTGTCCCTCTCTCCCATCTCCCTCCAGTGCTGCTAACTGGTTGAAGCCTCCTGACATGGAGCAGAAGAAGCGCCAGACTCCTCGGTACCTGACCCGGGTCTACTGGCAGAACAACAGTCGGAAGCTTCTCTTCCTGTGCCTGTACGCCTGTGTCAGTCTGCTCCTCTTCATCAGTGCCATACTGCAGCACAGCCAGCATGGGGCGTGGTATATGGTGGCCAAAGGCTGCGGACAGTGTCTCAACTTCAACTGCACCTTCGTCATGGTGAGATGTTTGACTGTCTAACCAGCAGCTGTGCTCCTCCTCACTCACTGAGCACCAGTGGTGGACGCTCATGGTGCTGATGCTGTGTCCAGGTGCTGATGCTGCGGCGCTGTCTGACCTGGCTCAGGGCCACCTGGGTGGTCAGGGTCTTACCTCTGGACCAGAACATCTTACTTCATCAGATCGTGGGCTACGCCATCCTCGGCTTCACGCTGGTTCACACCACTGCTCACATCTTCAACTTTGGTATGCACTACAGCGCCATCTGCTGTTGACTGACACACACACACCCAGACGCTGAGTGACCTTTGTCTCGTCTCCACCTGTGCGTCTCAGTCCAGATGTCAGAGACCAGTGAGTACAGCCTGTGGGAGTACGTCTTCACCACCAGGCCTGGTATCGGCTGGGTGCAGGGGACGGCCTCGGTGACGGGGGTGGTCCTGCAGGTCCTCATCTGTCTGATGGTGGTCTGCTCCATGACATTTGTGAGACGCAGTGGTCACTTTGAGGTAAAGGGAGGAGGGGTCTTCAGTCTCAGGCAGCAGGACCCTCTCCCAGCAGGTGAGCTCAGTTCCCGTCCTGTTCTGCAGGTGTTCTACTGGTCCCATCTGTCCTACATCTGGGTGTGGGCTCTGCTCATGGTCCACTGTGCCAACTTCTGGAAGTGGTTCGTGGTCCCTGGTCTGGCCTTCCTGCTGGAGAAGATCGTTGGAATTGCCGTCTCTCGTATGGGCGGCCTTTACATCGTGGAGGTCAACCTGCTGCCCTCTAAGGTGACCTGACCTTTGGCCTCAGTCCAGTCCTCTGATCCATCACCGTTAAAGTGGAGCCAGTTGTTGGACTGATTGATGATCAGTAATGAATGTTTGGGGACTGTTGTTTACAACTTTCACAAACCTTGTGTGTGTGTGTGTGTGTGTGTGTGCAGGTGACTCACCTGGTCATCAAACGTCCTCAGTTCTTCCATTTCAAACCTGGAGACTACGTCTACATCAACATCCCTGTCATCGCCAAGTACGAGTGGCACCCGTTCACCATCAGCAGCGCTCCAGAGAAATCAGGTAAGTCCCTGCACAGGTGGCACCCCCACAATCCCCCGACCCCCCCCATATGCCTGTGATCACCTCCTCTCAGATACTCTGTGGCTGCACATCCGCTCCATGGGTCAGTGGACCAACCGTCTGTACGAGTACTTCAGAGAACCACAGACCCAGAACGTCAGCCCGAAGAGACTGGCCACCAGTCTGAGGAACCACAGACACGCACTCAGAGCCCAGGTACCACACATGAGCACCAGGTGATACCAGGTGGACGTCATGGGATGTTTGTCTCTGATTGGTCACATTCACCACCAACAGGAGGAGCTGTTTAGCTCCACGGATTCCAACAGAGCAGTGGCGTCCAATGAGGACGAGGCTGTGGAGCTGACCATGTACCGACAGAACAGCTCCAGGAGCAGCACTGCTTCGGTGGCGCCCTCTGGAGATCAAGACTTAGCAGAGACTCAGGTGGATGAGCTGAGTCCTGCAGAGCGAGGAGAGGCTCCGCCCCTCAAGGATGTAAAGAAGAAAACTAGACTCAGTGTCTGATAAAAGAGACAAAGAATTATGGGTACTTTCATGTGACACCTGGTCTTCTCTGACTCTGCAGGGTTCAGCCACATTTGGAGAAAATCACAGGTTCTGCAACATCAAGGTATGAAGATGATGAAGATGATGAAGGTGATTGACTTTGGTGACTGTCAGTGTAAATGTCATGTGTGTGTGTGTGTGTGTGTTAGTGTTATGTAGATGGTCCATATGGAACTCCAACCAGACAGATCTTCACGTCTGAACACGCTGTACTGATCGGTGCTGGGATTGGAATCACACCCTTTGCTTCTATCCTTCAAAGCATCATGTTCCGGTGAGGTCCTGGACACTGTTCACCTCAGAACTGTCACCATGCTGCACCACATCTCCCAGCATGCACCAGGTCATGACTGATTGTCATGACTACACTAATGCCCAGAGAGCTAATACATTAGCGCTTTTAGCTCAGCTACAAAAATAACCAGTACTACTGTCTGTTGTATCAGGTTGGTGTAACTGAGTGTGAACTTCCTAAAGGGGGCAGCAGTGGGTCAATAGGTGCTGACACTGATTACGATCCTGTTGTGTTTGGTGCAGATACCGTTGCAGGAAGCAGAACTGCCCCAACTGTAACTACTCGTGGTGTGAGAACATCAAAGACAGCGACATGAAGCTACGCAAAGTTAGTGTCAAACACCTGGACCGTCAGAGTTCTGCTGTGAAGTCCCACTAACGTCCGACTGTTGGAACCCTGCAGGTGGACTTCATCTGGATCAACAGAGACCAGAAGTCCTTCGAATGGTTTGTTAGTCTGTTGACCAAACTGGAGATGGACCAGGCTGATGAGGAGCCAGAAGGTAAGAGGCCGGGAGCTGGGGCAGGTCTGTGAAGGTGGGTGGTGGTGGGTGGAGGTCTGTGGAGGTGGGTGGAGGTCTGTGGAGGTGGGTGGAGGTCTGTGGAGGTCTGTGGAGGTGGGTGGAGGGCAGGGTCAGTTGTAAACATTGTTGTTGTGTACAGGCCGTTTCCTGGAGATGCACATGTACATGACATCAGCACTCAGTAAGAACGACATGAAGGCTATCGGCCTGCAGATGGCACTAGACCTGCTGGCGAAGAAGGAAAAGAGAGACTCTATCACTGGACTAAGGACCAGAACCCAACCAGGGCGACCAGAGTGGGGGAAGGTGAGGACATGAAAATGAAATTGGTTTTATTTCAGCTTAAAACAAAACCTCATTTAACTGGAACAAATTTAGATTCTAATAAAATATGACTCAGGTCATGTGATTCCCAGAATGATTCCGTCAGACCTGCAGTTGTTTGACTGAGATCCAGTAATTGGTACGGGTCTGCTGCAGGTTCACCTCAGACCTGGTTCTCAGGTTCACCCGCTCTCTGGTTTTCATTCTTCAGGTGTTCCAGAAAGTCTCAGAGGAGAAGAAAGGGAAAGTTCATGTATTTTACTGTGGAGCTCCAGCTCTGGCTAAAGTCATCAAGGCTCAGTGTGAAAACTTCGGCTTCAACTTCTACAAGGAGAACTTCTGACTCTGTGTGTGTGTGTATCTGGTATATGCACCTTCTGGTTTCATATAATAAAATGTTTCTCTCTGTGGATGTCAGCAGCTTTACTCCAACAGGAACCATGTGTATTGATGTGCCATCTGATGACCAGAGTCAGTGATAATCATGGTGTAATCCAGGGGTGGCCAACCAGTCAGAGAGCCACAATTTTTACTGTGTTACTGCAAAGAGCCACATGATGTACCTGGGCACACGTGAACTGCCCCCCAAAAAATAAACACTCCCACTCTGTTCAAATGTCCTGCCTTCATATTCTCCTTTTGCTGTGCATTTTTTCCCTGCCATTTTGAGAGCAGAGTTTGGTTGGCCTACTCTACTCTAGTGCTTTTGCCTCAACGCCCATGTATGTGAGATTAATGTACCATAAAAAAAATAAAAATAATTTGATTTGTTTTATGTTGTAGAGTCTTATATCACAACAGTCTGCCATGACAATAAATGATTGAATGTGAATATGATGTGTTTCCTGTCATCACGTATGACACCTTATGTATGGCTGTCAGTATTACATATTAGTAAGTATTACCCAAATATTTACAGAATATTATCCAAGGTTATAGAATATAAGGTTCCAAATGATTACTTGTCAACTCTTATGTTTGTATATCTTTAACAATAATTATTAATAAAGGAGAATACATTTATCCAGAGGTACTCGCGACTCTCCCCACTGTGGGATGGATAAAGGACTTCTTAAGTAATCTTTAATCTTAACCATATAAGTAACAAATTTGTTGAAAAATAAAATTGTTTAAACCAATCATACAACATATTTTACAGGAATCCAACAATAGCACGGCTAAAAGATGTTTTTATACTTAAACTTAAAGATGTGTTGTCTCGTTAAACCTGTGACTGTGCCACAGCTCGTGTGTCAGGGGGCAGTATTGCGCTCAAAGGCCGAATGAAATTGCAGTAGAAAAAGAGACGAGAAGAATTCTGTTGCTAACTAGCAACTAGCTAGTTTCGCAGTAGCAGTTTCTGCGTCGGGCAGCTAATAAAACAATGGACCAATGCGGCAGTAAAAGTGTATGGCTACATGAATGTTGAAGTTTGATGTCAGCGGTGCCAACTACTTATAATGACCCGGAACCTCTGATGTAAAGGCCGGGCCGGTTTTTATTTTCGGTCACATTTTCCTTTTTTCCTCCGTAGTTAGCCTTTTAGCCCGTTAATGATGGTGGAGCCAGAGAGCAGCGACAGAAAAGGTAGGCCGCGCACTGAAAAACCAGTATCTTAAAAACACCAATGTTATTTTAGTCACTATAAGTAAAGTTGGTACATTTCTTATTTATGATAAATGTCATTTTAGTAGTTCAGACGCACAGTGGTGTTTAAGTGTACGTGTCTCCACTCTTGTGAATTCAGAAATTGCTAATGTAGCAATGAGGCTAACTTGTCCACACAGGTTATTTCACTGGTTTTGTTGAAGTACAAATATAAATACGGTTTGTGCGTCAACTTTGATTCTGTATACAGTGTCATTCGTTGATTTTTATATTGTTTTTACACGTTAAACACACAAAAACCGACATGTCCACTGTGAGAAAGTTGTTTCATTCCTGTAAGGTGTTCCCTCTAATGACATGTTTACGCTGGTGTGGATTTAACATTTACAAAATGTTGTTCAGCGTTAATTTGATCGACTGTCACACTGAGTCTGTTGATTTCAGCAGAAAATAATTGGGTAAAAATGCCAAAAATGTCTGCAAAGTAAATAGCATTTTCCCCCACCATCCTTGTCGACAGTAAGAGATAAGGAACCTCTTTACCGTCTCTCCACACCATTGAACCGAGTATGAGATTTTAAATTATTGAGCTAAGGCTCTGCATATTTGTCTTTTTTCTAACAAGTAATAATATTTTTAAGTTAGAAAAAAATGTTGAGTGTGGGGTCCCCTCTGCATCCTCTGAACTTCCATTTCTTTTTTTATGGACCAACATCCCCCCACACATTTGTCCTGACCTATCTAACAACATATTTTCTTCCAGCTTAAATTCTTTATGGAGACAGACTGGCAGCAGTGGCAGTGAGCAGTTAATCACCTGAGGCCACGGGTACAACAACATGGCGTCTCGTCATAGGAACTCGGTGCGCATCCTGTCCAACAGGGAGCGTGGTTCTCAGACGTTTGGATCTCAGCGGCTCCTTCAGTTACTGGTGGAGGAGAAAGTCCGGTGGATGAAATGGCAGAGTCAGGTACAGAGGGCGAGGCCTCACTTCATGTAGGGGTTGGGGCGGGTCTTGTTGTCAACAGACTTATTGTAAAGGTGTGTGTTTGTGTCTCGAACAGAAGGTGGAGTTGCCTGACAGTCCTCGATCTACTTTCCTGCTCGCGTTCAGCCCTGACAGGTGACGCCCTTTTCACCCTCCTTCACTTTTTAAATTTTTGAGTGTGGAGGGCAGTCAGACCAGTTATTTGTTCCACTGAGTTTTAGATCAGTGAGGTTTTGACTGTTCATCATATATGTTCTTCATATTTCACTCAACTGGTCCTTCCAAAGCTAATGTTGACGTTACGTGACAGCTCACTGACCTCCATCTGTTTCTAAAGGACACTGATGGCTTCCACACATGTCAACCACAACATTTACATAACGGAGGTGAAGACAGGAAAGTGCCTACATTCCTTAGTGGGCCACCGTAGAACCCCCTGGTGTGTTACCTTCCACCCCACAATACCCGGCCTTGTGGCCTCTGGGTGCCTTGATGGTGAAGTCCGCATCTGGGACCTTCATGTGAGTATGGCCGCCTGTTCTCCAGTGAAGTAACGTTATCCCTTTTATGAAACTTTAAATGGCTTCACATACTCTCCGTCTGCAGGGTGGCAGTGAGAGCTGGTTTACAGAAAGTAACGTGGCCATCGCCTCATTGGCCTTCCACCCCACTGCTCAGCTCCTCCTCATCGCCACCAACAACGAACTCCATTTCTGGGACTGGAGTCGACCTGAACCCTTTGCTGTAGTCAAGACGGGCAGTGACACAGAGAGAGTGCGGTGAGTCCAGTACTCTAACCAGACACGGGGGCGGGGCGTCTAATGCTCCCATCTCTGCAGTTTTATCAACATAACCTTTGTTTTTTCCACTCTTTTCCAGGTTGGTGAGATTTGATCCTCTGGGTCACAACCTGCTGACAGCAATAGTCAATCCGTCCAATCAGCAGGTAAGATCTGCTGCTGGTCCAACTGGTCCTGGTACACCAAAGCTGTCAGGGTGACACTGACCTTGAACAACATGAACCTTTTCTACTGTTATTCATAAATGAAATGATGAGAATTTAAACATTTGTCTGGTTTAAAAAAAAAGTCATGTTTTTAAGGAATATAATCTGGTTCAGGGATTAGGAGGAGACCAGTTTAATTTAATCTCTCTCTTTTCTCCAGAACGACGAGGATGCCGAGGTTCCCATGGACAGTGTGGAGATGCCACACTTTCGCCAGCGCTCCTTCCTGCCAACACAACCAGTGCGCCGTACACCGATCCTCCACAACTTCCTTCACATCCTGTCATCCCGCTCCCCGGCAGCTCAGGTTGGAGGCGAGCAGCCCACACGCGGGTCTCCCCTGGGGGATAGTGGAAGTAATGTCGGGGAGTCTCCCAGCATTCCTCTGGCTCAGTACCCGGGCTCAGAACGCGGACCCCCCTTTCCTGGCTGCACTCAGCACCTGGGCATGGTTTGTCTGTGCAGTCGCTGCTCAGCCAATCGAAATCCTTCGCTGTCCACCAACAGCTCCATCATGACCCAGTCAGGTCCCCGGACCTCGCCTGATGCTCCCACACCTCCCCCAACCTCCACCTTCTCTTCGGCCCGTACTGAGCCCAGACAGCCTTCAGAGCGAACCTCGGCCTTCACCTCCGTCTACTACAGCGCCGGTTCTTCTCTTAACCCCTCCATGCCGCACCCCGCCACCAGAACAGGACCAGACTGGACTCGCAATCTGTTAAGCATGAGGGAAGGTGGTGTCGGTCCAGTGATGCTGCCTCCCAGAACCTCCTCTTCCTCTTCCATCAGCCTTCTTTCAGTGCTCCGTCAGCAGGATGGCTCTTCCCACTCGCCTGTTTACACTTCTGCCACTGAGGGGCGGGGTTATCCCCAACAAGGAGAAGCGGGAGCCCGGGACGCTGCCGGAACCAGCAGTGGACACCACCCCTTCTGGGACGGCTCTCGTGGCAACACTGCCTCGTTCCGTAACGTGCTGCAGTGCAACCTGAGCCGCTACTTCATGGAGTTTGACCGCATGCAGGACCTGGAGCCCCCACTAGGTGGTGCCATGTCAGACAGAGGACAGGAGCAAAGTCAAGAGTTACTGAACAACAACATGGACCCAAACAGACCAGGGCCATCCTCGTCCCTCTCTTCCTCCTCCACCCCCACCATTATTCACTACCAGCCTCCTCTTCCTCCTCCCCTCGCCTCCCACGTCCCGGAGAACAACGGCCCTCCCCTATCCTCCAGAGGCCACCTGAACCGTTGCCGGGCCTGTCACAACCTACTGACATTCAATCATGACTCGCAGCGCTGGGAACGAACCAACCAGGCCTCCTCCACCTCCGCCTCGACCCTGGACCCCTCCTCCTCTTCCTCTTCTTCCTCACCCTTTCCTGCTGCTGCTTCACCTTCAGCTCCGTGGCAGCATGATGAAAGCAGGAGGACACTCGAAGTCCAAAATCCAGAAAGGAGGCTGCCACTAGACTCTATTGAGCAACCACACCCTCCTGTAGGTGGCGCAGCAGGAGCAGTTACCTTTCCAATTGCCCCGTCCACCAGCCAGCCAGGAGAGCAGACGGTGGGCTTGGTCTACAACCAGGACACAGCGCAGTGGGAGCGGGTGTACCGACAGGCCGCCGCTGGTCGATCAGCAGAACCACCTGAGACCTTAAGCCAAGAAATGCCTGTTGATCCTCCTGATGAAGACTCCCTGAGGAGGTGAGCGCTCCTTTTTAATGTTTTTCTCTGAAACAAATGTACACATCAGCTGTCCCCTGCAGGGGGTGCTGTAGATGCAGAGTTGTGATGGCAGTGGTCAAGTAGAACAGACGAGATCTTGATGACTGGTTACCGGTTACTGGTAAATCACTGTTGTGAAACAAAAACAACACATTTGTTCACATTGTTAATGTGAATGCCTGTTCTCAGAGAAGGGTGAGAGCAGGCGTGGGCAAACACGCGGGCCACAATTGTTCTAAAATTGAACAGGGGGTGGGGTCAGGAGCAGATAGATGGAGCGTTTGTGTGAACTAATATAAAAGACATGTAACGTTATGCAAAAAGGCTAAAATGCTTTTATCATTTTCTATGCCATCTATTGGGGGGACATGGGTATTGCAGGGAAAAGGCAGAAGTATAATGATAATATAAATATATTATATAATTTGGAAAAGTATGGTGGACCGGATTAAAAAGATGAACAGGCCACATCCGGCCCCTGGGCCTTAGTTTGCCCATGCCTGTGTTAGAGAATAAAGACCAAAGTTACGTCAGTCCATCAATCCATAAGTGTGTCTTTGTCTCTGTAAGTTCAGCTCCGTTTTTTCCCCCTACAGGCGATTGTTGGAATCGTCACTTTTATCCTTGTCTCGCTACGACATGTCAGGATCCAGAGATCACCCCATTTATCCTGATCCAGCCAGGTACGTTCAGAACCGGGCTCATGATCCCGGTCCACGTCAGCACTACACTGATGAGTCATCAAATGCCTCATTGTTTCAAATGTTTGTGTCGTGGACTTCAGACTGTCTCCAGCTGCTTACTACGCCCAGAGGATGATCCAGTACCTGTCCAGACGGGACAGCATCCGCCAGCGCTCACTTCGTTACCAGCAGAACCGGCTGCGGGCCATGTCCACATCGTCCGACAGCCCTGCCAACAACCCGTCCAACTCCATGGACAACAGTGAGGTGGACTTTGAGGAGCTGGAGTGGGTGTTCTTCACAGGTTTCTTCTGAGGTTTTCACTTCTCCAAGATGACCAAACATCTGAGTTTGTTTTCATTTCTCATCCTCAGTGACACTGGAGACAGAGCCAGACATAGGACGCCACGCAACGCTAGGATGTCTGCACCGTCTCTGGGTCGCTTTGTTCCACGGTGAGTCAGAACCAGAGGCTCTGGAGAGTTCTCTATCTCTCTGACCCTTGATGTTATGTTAATGTTGACGGCCCCTGGGCCTATGATGATGATGTTGTTGATGATGATGTGTGGCAGGCGGTTCTTCCTCCCTGAATACTTGCCCTACGCTGGAATCTTCCATGAGCGGGGGCAGCCCGGTCTGGCCACACACTCCTCCGTCAACAGAGTCCTAGCAGGTAAAGGCATCACAAACACAAAGATCTGGAGTCACCAATCACAGTGCAGCTCTTTAATGGCCATGGTCTGGTCTTCCTCAGGGGCGTCCATCGGGGACGGCCAGTCTGCGGTGGCCAGCAACATCGCCAACACCACCTACAGGCTGCAGTGGTGGGACTTCACCAAGTTTGACCTACCAGAGGTCAGCAACGGTACGTACGCACTCTGCTCCTCTGTGATTGGCCAGAGGAGGAGAGGAGAGGTTTTTAATAACAGCTTAAAGCAGGGGGGCTCAAATTTGGTGAGCTGAGGGTCACTGGTGCCCCCTCAGGTCATGTGGGGCTGCATGTCAAAGAAGAAAATAGTGTATAGTACTACAGTACAAACAGTTTTAACAACTCTGACAGGTGTGTAGGCTGATCATGGGGCCAGAACATTAATGCCTGAATGACCTGCAGATGTCGCCAAAGCCTCCGTGCTGAGATATGACTGTTATTATTTGTTTGACTGTGTTCCTCCTCCTCCTCCTCCTCCTCAGCTTCTGTCAACGTTCTGGTGCCAAACTGTAAAATCTACAACGATGCGAGCTGCGACATCTCTGCAGACGGTCAGCTGCTGGCCGTTTTTATTCCTAGCAGTCAGCGGGGGTTTCCCGACGAGGGCATTCTGGCCATTTACTCTTTGGCTCCTCACAACCTGGGAGAGATGCTCTACACCAAGAGATTTGGTAAGGGTCCAATAGAACAGGGTCACCTGTTGAGTGGGTCAGCTGATCTGGTTATTTAACCCTAACTCTGTCCAACATCTGCCACCCCCCAGGTCCAAATGCCATCTCTGTCAGCTTGTCTCCCTTGGGCTGCTATGTGATGGTTGGTCTGGCCTCACGCAGGATCCTGCTGCATCCTAACACTGACCACATGGTGGCGCAAGTTTTCCGCCTACAGCAGCCACATGGAGGAGAGACGTCCATCAGGGTGAGGCGTAGTCCCTTCCTGTGTATTAAAGCAATGATGGGTAAAATTATGGGATGTAGCGGTCATGACCTTCTGTCCAGCTGAAGGAGGTGCTAGTGACAAACGTCCTGTCAGAGAATGACTCTCACTGACACTGAGTGAAGGAGGTCAGTTTAGGAACTAAACAGTTTCTTTCAAAATTAAAAAATCAAAAGTCCTACCACTCCTTTATTCCACCCCAGGTTATTGAATTATTATTGAAGTCAGAAATCATCACTCTGACGGCACTAACCTGATCATTTTTATTTATCTGTTTTTGACCCTTGTTGACCTGGCTGATGCCTGAGAACAGGTCACTACCACGCTGTGATTTGACCTTTGACCCACCACAGAGGTGATAGTGAATCAGGAAACAGTCAAGTGACAAAGCAGTAGATGTTGATGTACATCTGCACTTGTCCATGAATACTTCTACTACACACTCCACCGCCTGACATCAGCTCAGAGCAGGGAAACGCAGCCCCATGCTGTAACATACCACAGTATTTTGAGCATTAGTACCTGTGAGGTTATTTTATAGAAGAATGAACGGACGATTGACATGAAATGTGTCAAAAAACACAACCTGTAACTGAGTCCTTCTGAAGGTAACTGTCAACGTGTGTGTTTGTGTGTGTCATCATCCCATTCAGATGGTCTTCAACGTGGTCTACCCTATGGCTCCAGACCAGCGGCGCCACGTCAGCATCAACTCGGCTCGTTGGCTCCCAGATCCGGGAATGGGTCTGGCTTATGGGACCAACAAGGGAGACCTGGTCATCTGTCGGCCTGTGTGAGTCTCAACCTCTGGTTTGTCATGTTACCATGTTCTGACAGCAGCTGTGAGAGATATAAATCTGTTGTATTTATTAAAGACACATCTTTGATTGTGTTTCCCACCAGAACTTGTGGGTTCTCCTGAGAACCGGTCTAATGGACTCGCTCCATCTCAGGGTTCTTAATCAAATCTTTGTGTTAGTGTCTCCGAGTGTAGAGCTTCCTCCTCCTTCTCCTCAATGAGGAGTTCACAAATGTGATTATCCTGATGTTCGCTCTCAACAGGAAGACTGTTAATTGGAGAAGGTCAATTAGTGACTGTAATGATGTCCTGGTTGTTTGGACCCCGCCAGGAAACCCCCCTGCTGCCTCAAGACTTCCTGTCCTCCAGTGGATTAACGTGTGTGTGTTTATGTGTGTGTGTGTGTTTTCAGGTTCTACCGCAGTGATGGTGAGAACCCTGGAGAGTCGAACCTGGAACCTTTGTTTTCTGTCAACAACAGTGGAACCAGTCGGAGTCGAGGTTCTGAAAGATCAGGGTGAGAACTGGGACCAGACCAATATTAGCTAGACTAAAAACACCAGAGTTTGACTGGGACAAACACAAACCAGTTATAACACACACATGTGTACACACACACACACACACACACACGTACTTTTATTGCTTACTCAACAGAAACAAACCCAGTTCTTGGTTTTTCTACAAATATCCCGTTGAATATCTGTTTCAGTCCAAACCGCTCCAGTTGGAGGCTGGACAGAGACATGGGATTGATGAACGCCATTGGTCTCCAGCCCAGACATCCCACCCCCTCTGTGACATCACAGGGAACACAGACGCCAATCGTCCAGCTGCAGAACGCCGAGACACAAACGGAGAGGGAGCAGGAACCAGAACCCAGTGTGTCTGGACCTCCCCCAGGTACTGTCCCATAGCCTGGACACTGATGGTGGGCACATCTAAGCCAGCACCAGCATCAGCACCAGTACCAGTACGGGAACCGGTGCAGGTCACTTGTACAGAAGCACTGTAGACTTCAGTAACACAGGAAGTTCCTTCATGACCTTTTTTTTTTTTTTTTTTAACATTTTGGTCCTCGCCTCCTCAAATG